TGCAATGAATTACTACAGCAAAGAGGAGAACTTTGGAAACAAAAGAGTGATGACAAAGAAATTGAAAAGCTTAGCATCTAGCGCCAATAGGCTACGCTCCAAGGACAAAATCTGACACAGTGCGCTTCAGCTGCAATAGCGGCAGCCGGCGCGAAAGCAGCTACCGGCTGCAAAAGCGACAACCGGCGCGGTCCCGGCGCGGTCTGGAGGCTCCCTTAGGAACATGCGACAGCAAGGGAATCGGCGGTGTAGGTGTCCTTGTCAATACGAGTTTGGCCGTTAGCATCGATACATTCGAACAACTCACAACTCGGATCAGAAGTTTACGAATATTACGATGTGATCAATCCCAGCCTTGACGGTCTTCATAGCTACGCCGCAACATCAAGCTACGAAAGACGAAGCCAAGGCCTTTTACATGGACTTGGAGAAGTTGTACAGAAAAGAGCACACCTTCTACAAGGTCATCGTCGGTGACTTCAACGCAAAGATCGGAGCAAGAAGGTCGCCTGCGGAACTTCACATCGGGACCCATGGACTACACTGGAACGAATAAGGGGAGAGACTGTCCGAGTTCATCATGACGGCGAGGACCATTCATGGAAACTCGAAGTTTCAAAAGCCCCCTTCCCGACGCTGGACCTGGGAATCGTCCGGTGGAGAGTACCATAACGAGATTGATCAGAGGGGAGAGAACAGTATTGCTTGACCGACGTCGCTGTTGTTCCGAAATTCTTCACGGGGTCGGACCATCATCTCCTTCGTGCCAAGTTCTACTTCTCACGGAATGGAGAAAGAGCCATTAAGTTCAGGAAACATCGTCTCACAACTATCATCAACTGGGACCTGTTTTCTTCCATATCCGGCTTTTGGCGAGATACCGTGATCGACAACATCGACGAGGAATATGAAAGATTTATCCAGCATCTCCACGATTGTGCTAAGGAACCTAAGAGCCCAAGACGTACCAGGAAGCGTCTGTCAACGGAGACTACAGCTATACGCCAACGTGCACGAGCACGAGCTTAGGCAATGACCAGCTTACGCCTTAGCTCGCGAAGAAATGCAAGGAAGCGATAAAAGAAGATCTCAAAGAGAGAAAAGCACAAGTTATAATTGATGCCGCGGAAGCCGGAAGAAGTATACGCAACTCCCGCCAAAGCACCGTCATGTTCAAGACCAAGATGACCGCACCCACCGCCCTGATCGATGGAGAAAGTCATCCACGAATTTTACTCAGATGTCTTTGCGAGTCACGTCCACCTACCACCATGCCATCTTAAGGAGAACGGATATGTTGCACCATCAGTTCTTCCTTCAGAGGTTCGACATTATCATGCCAATGAAAAGCCGTACAGCAGCCGGGCCCCACAGGATCAAACCGAAACGCCTAAAGAATCTCTCAACATTCCTTATCAGAACTATGGGGAGGCTCTTCACGCGGTACCTGACGGAGGGCACGAGTCCAAGTCAGTGGAAGACCAGCAAGACCGTGTTGTTGTACAAGAAGAGAGACCCCGGCCACATCGAAAATTATCGCCCTATCTGCTTATTGTCTACAGTCTACAAGCTCTTCACACTTCTTCTTAACAGGATCGGAAGAGAATTAGACGAAAGACAACTATGCGAGCAAGCTGGGTTCCGGAAAGGATTTAGCATTATGGACCACATATACACGATAACAAGGCTCATCGAAGTATCGCGAGAGTACAGGATGCCGCTTTGTCTCACCTTTATCGACTTGAAGAAGGCATTTGATTCGTTTAAGACTGAGGCTGTCATTGATGCCTCGAGTATCAAGGTATTCCAACTCAGTACATCAAGATGGTTCGTGAGCTGTACAATGACTTTACAACCAAGATCACACCATTCTACAAGGACATCACCATCGACGTGAAGAGAGGAGTACGACAAGGCGATACCATATCGCCGAAACGTTTCAGCGCTGCTCAAAAACATCTTGCGGACACTAGAGTGGGATGACATGGGTATGGAAGTCGACGGCCGGCAACTACACCACCTTCGCTTCGCTGATGACATAGTCCTATTTACACCGGATATCACGCAAGCGGAACGCATGCTGGCCCAGTTTGATGACGTGTGTGGAAAGATCAGTCGGCAGCTAAGTCTGACGAAGACGATGTTCATGAGAAACGGATGGGTTCCTGATGCTCCTCTCACGCTGAATGGAATGACGATCGCTAAATGCTCTAGTTACGTCTACCTAGGTCGGGAAGTCAGCATGATGAACGATCTAGCCTCGGAACTGAGCAGGAGAAAACGAGCAGCATGGGGAGCATACAAGGCAATTGAGGACCTAGTGAAGAAGACCAAGAACGCACGGCTCCGCGCCCATCTCTTGAACACGACGGTTCTGCCTGCTTTGACGTACGCTTCGGAAACGTGGACCATGAGGAAGCAGGGCGAACATGCGGTGAGCGTCATTGAACGCGCTGTTGAGAGAGCGATGTTAAAGGCAGTGGCTCGGCAAGCCTCAACCTAGTGAAATTTTCGCTTACCTGGGGTTTTTCAATACGCTGATCCCGAAAATGCACTTTTGAGAGCTTGAAAACGGCGAAAACGAACATCTTTCAATGCCCTTCTTTTTGGAATTGGACGTGTGGAGCAGGGCTGATGACGCTGAACCGTTGCAGGACCCAATGGTTATAGCATTGCGGCGGGCAGCCTTCAATGGTGAGAAGGAATTTGCCAACTCGTCCGGATGCGTGTAAGATTAGTCTGCGCGTGTAAGTTTAAGAGCAATTTTTTCGGCAGGGAAGGCATGCTGCGCAACCGGGATTGCACTGTTTTCATACTTGGGCAATAAGGAGTCCACCGCATTAAAATTTTTGTTGTTGAGTTTTGCCGAACCACTGCTTTTAAAAGTGTCCCGACTCGCGCAAGTGAGGAAAGGAAGATGAAGCTCTACCCTATGTCAACGATCGAAGATCAGGGATGCTGCCGCATACGCCAAACAGAATAAAATCAGATGGACCGGACCCGTGATGCGTCTTGACGACAATCCGTGGACCAGAGCTGTAATAGATTGAAATCCGCTGGACGTCAGACGCCGAATAGGAGGACCGCCGACTCGATGGTCGGACATGTTCACGAAGTCCTTCAAAGCAGTCCTTCAGAGCGTTCCTAGTGTACCTGGGGCGATGAGAAGACAATGGTCAACGATCACTCGCGACAGGGAAGAATGCAGGCGTCACTGGATCCCGCTCATGTCAAGCAACGATCAACAGGGATGCAGCTGATACAGGTGATGCTTCCGTGAATGAATGAATTGCACCAACTCTCAAGCAAGAAGGCTGCAAGTCTCGAAGACCACTGAAGAATTCAACAGAAGAAGAGCCTTGCTATGGATTTGAAGAAGCATATGCAACTCTAGCAAAGCGATTGGAAGCAGCTGCAGTACGGATTTTCCAATTAAAATGATCGAAGAGTGGCAATTGAACCACTCCGAATTCTGCCTTTGGCTGGTAGTGCGATTAATAGAAATGGGCTCAAGACATTTCCGACATGGATTACCTAAGAACTTCAACGACGGCCTTCTCATCAGTGCCAGTGCCGGCCTCCATTCTATTGAAGATATACAATTCCGCTAACACCCTGCGAGCGTAAAGACACTGAGCCAAAGGCCAGTTTCACTTTTTTTGAAGCAGGTGCAAGCAAATAGACACTAGCTTAACTAAACATCAGGTCATATAATCGCTTCGTGTTCATGATAGTTGCGGTATTGTTCCACGTCAGCTAACACAATAATCGTATAAAGTCGTTTATCTACATGATAAAAGCCAAGGGATATGATGAAACCGTGAGTGGCACAAGAGGAGAAGAGAGAACTACCTCTCAAATTTGGTAACTATACACTCACAAATAAACGACTGGAAATACATAAAGCATTTTTATATACAAACACGCGGTCACCGCAATCTGCAACAAATCATGTCCGATCGCTTACCCTTCGCAATGATTGCTCGCCAGATATAGAGCACCGTCGTCTTCTTTCCAAGAAGGCCCCCGGATCTTTGAATATGTCCAATTAGCCGGCAGACCCGGCTTCGCCTGGCCTTGTCGGAATTTTCGTAATCAGCATGCTCACTTACCTCCCGTGCCAACTTCCAGTCCCGTAGCTCAAACATTGCAAAAAATCATAAAGTTGGTATTAATCGATAGCAAAAAGCAGCCTAATGACACCCGCTCGCCCCGAAGTGAATGTGTGCCAAGTTTGATAGGGATCGGTTCACAAATATAAAGTTCTATTCTGAACATACGTACACAACGACATGCATACAGACAAACAGACATTCAGCTTTTTGTATAAGATACTGTCGTGTGCGCTGTGAGCTACATAAACTTTTCGCAAGATTAATCTCAGACTAATAGCACTGCATACTTCAGCTTCTAGAGTAAGATGATTTTGTAAGAGATCTAGTTGCCTGGACCAGATTCAATTTTAGGTGCTGTAGAACGCGGTTGTGTGATGACATTGGTCACTGCTACAAAGACTGCAGAACCGCACATTCGCCGCCCATAAAATAAGACCAGGTAAAAAGTAAAAGTAACAAGACAAAACAACTGTTCACCGCCCCGCTTGGTGATAATGTCACTCAAACTGGTCCAGTTCCCCTGTGTTTGAGATCTTTCACATGATCATAGTGCTCACCAAGGTCATTCTCTACATTTCTAAACTGGGGCAGCTCTAATGACTGTTGGAGACTCAAAAGGAAATGCAGCAGGTAGATTTGACAACGAATTTTAGTGCAAGCACTAATCACTTATGCTAAATTTTAAGCGGTGTTTTGTTCCCATTGTTACTGCGATGTGCAAGTGCAGATATTATGTGTTTTTGTGTTGCTGCTTGTAGGCTTTGAAACATTTATTGGGCACCCTATAGAGTGCGCATAATCAAATCATTGGCGGTGTTTCTGGACTTGCTTTTCAAACTAAAAAATGTGCAATTCATAAAAAAATGAGCTGATGTATTATATAATCTAAAACATACTCATGCGGTATTCCAGAGTAGCAGTCACCATTCCAATGCTACGATAAAAGATGACGGGAACAGTGTCAGTCTTTGAAACGAACACCTTATCCTTACCACCTTCTTCCTTGCAGAATCTGTGCAAATTCATAGGAGCGATTTTGATAGTACACAATATACTTTGGTAAATTCGAATTTTTTTCGAATATTCGAATATCGAATAATATTCGAAAATAGAAATTCTCGAATATTCGACTATCGAATATTATTCGAAAACTGAAAACTTCGAATATTCGACTATCGAATTTTATTCGAAAATCGAAGTTTTCGAATCGAATAATATTCGAATATCGAATACCATTCGATATTCGAAATTCGAATATTATTCGGTTATCGAATAACATTCGATTTTTGAATATCATTCGATTTTCGAATACTATGCGAATAAATTATGTCAGTGAGAATACCTGTGAGAGACCAAAACATCTCAGAATAAATTTTTTCAGGTATAGACATTTTTTTATATTTCAATTTACAACGAAAAAACGGTTCAGTTGCAGCCCCGGCAAGAAGGTGGGTGCCGGATTGTGGTGATGTTAAAGTAGTTCCCCCACCTAAGCGATGACTGATGTTCGGAGCGAAAAAGGGGCTACCAGGCCTAAAATTTGCCCCGTAAGTGGCCCGGATCTTACGGTAGGCTCGTGAGTACGAGATGCATGCAGGGTAGAGACGCAGAGTCGTTGCGAGACCCTGCACTCATGGCTGTGTGCGCTATGCGTTCTCTGGCCTTGCAGTTCGAATCCGCTGTACGGGCGGCATTCGGGCCTGCCGTAAGACGGGCCACTTTGGGAGCAATTTTCAAGCTTACCAGACCCTCTTTTTCGCTCCGAACTTCGTCGCCGCTTAGGTAGGGGTCAATTTAACATCGCCACAAATTCCCGGACCCATCTTTTGGGACGCTGCCTTTGAGAACCTAAAAGCGTACTTGACGGTTGTAAAAAAATTTCAAAAATCAAAGAAGATTATTTATCCTCATTGAGAGTTGTGGACTGACATGGTACAGGGGTCCCAACAGTATGTGAATCTGTGGGCTGACATCAACCTAGACTTACAGTATGAAGCGATGTATCGATCGCTTTTCACACTGTTGTAAATTACCGTAGGAAAACTGACGAGGGTTTTGAGATATCAAGAGCCGTAAGAATGAGAAACAAAAAGGCCGGTCTTACACTAGGCTTCTAAAGACACTCACTATACAAAGAATTTGCACTCAACCGTAACGCCTTTTGCAACTTATGCCAGGTACACCATAATAGATGTTTTACAACGCTTTTCAAAAAAGAGAATGCACATTTAGAAAGCTTGATAGCCCGTGCATAGTTAAACATACGTAAAATCCTGCTACATAGATTTGAAATCTCTTTTTGGTGGGGAAACTCCTTTGGATGTCTCATTTAGCAGTTGCTCTATATGCTAAGTTCATACCGTGATAACACAACAAGAAAAACATAGGTTATTTGTTTTCTGCAGTATTTCTGAGCTGAAACCATCCCTACAGGATGTTACTTAAAGGTTGGCAAAAGACTTCGTGAGAGGTATTAGCGATTAAACAGTTTGTACATACTCTTGGGACACCCCGTATATGTTGTGGATATCGAATTTCCGAATATTCGATGCTTCCAATTTTCGAATAGTCAGTTCTCATCGAGTTTTCGAATATTCGGTGCTCATCGAATATTCGAATATTCCATGGACATCGAATGATCGAATTAATGACCGTCGAACATTCGACTATCGAATAATATTCGAAAGTTGAAAATTTCGAATATTCGACTTTCGAATAATATCCGAAAATGAAAACTTTCAAATATTCGACTGTCGAATATTATTCGAAATCTCAGGTTTTCGAATATTCGAATTTTCGAATCATTCGCATTCGAATGATTTATTCGAATAATCGAATAATCATTCGATTCGGTCCAAAGTATAGTACACAACAACAAAGCGCATACCTGTAACCCGTTAGAAGCTGGTCTTTTTGGGGTTTGATTTCCACTCCCGCAAAGGCGCAGCCACTGTTGGATTGGGATTCGGACAAAGCTCTTTTGAGTCTTATTTCAACCTTTCTTCCTCTGTCGGCCTAAGCCTCGCTATTGAAGCTATCCTTCCTCAAGATTGTAGTTAGTGAACGAACCTTGATCCAAAAGTGGCACTTTGTGAAATCATCCGACTTCTTGCCACTTGGTCCGAAATAGTGCTCAAGAGTCTGTACTCTACTGTTAGCTGTAAGAACTAGACCACATCCGGATGGCTGAAGCTACGAGTTGTAGGAGATTTCGACTATCACTTTATGGCAACCAACCTTCTCATCACATAGACGGCCTCCATATCCATCGGGACAAATGCATTTGGAACAGTCGCGTGGATTTGGGTAGCCACCCATTTTACATTTTGCAGAGGAGGCGGACTTGCACTTATCTGATATAAAGAGGCATTTCTATGGCAGCAAAATATAAAAGCGAAAGACTTTCCCCTCTGAGAGTTTTGAACGGAAAGTCAGAGGTTTCTAATCTGAGGGGGGGGGGCTACACCTAATAAAGCTGAAAGGCTGCACAAGCCAACTCACCTAGACATCCATAGTGTTTGTTCATGAGAAGTATGTCATAAAATGACAGCATGGTCGATCCCATGGTGTCTACATAATTTTCATCTTTCGGTATTAGTGTGGGTATCCGCTCATCCTTAGCAAAGCTGAAAACTTTTCCGTAATCTACATCAAGAGGGGCAGATTACATACAGGCGACTTACGCGTATGCGGAGTAGTGCATCAGGCTACCATAGTCGTAAGGTACACCATAATTGTTGCTGGTCCTTTGAGTTTCTAGGTTGAAATCGGTGTTCAACTGTTTTGGCTAAAGAATCGTCGCTTCATTTTACTAAGCAATCGTGCGAGGACACTTCAGCTTACAGGAATGTTGCCTTTATTTAGCGTTACATAGTTGTCACGGTCATACCTTGACTGAACGTGGAACAAACCAAGAGTATGGGCGAGTTCGTGCGCGGCTGTTCCCACCTGGGGGACTTGTTGGAAAAACTTTTCATAATATAAAAATCTTATGTGTTGTTACATAGTGGCATCCTTGACCGCCCAAGGAAAGCTCTTGTACTTTGTGAAGGTTTCCAACCCAGGAGTAGCATCCGTTTCCTTCGAAAAACTCAACTCGCTCAGGAGCTGCAATGTCGCTAACATGTTCAAGAATTTGTTGCGCTGCTGCTCTGTACCGGTAGCGTCTTCAATCATGTCGATGCATGTATTGTCGTGCCATAATTTAGCTCCTTTTTTAGCTATTTCCTTCATCTTCGGGTTTCCTGCAGTGAGCTCTCAGTCCTATCTGCTCCAAATGCATCTGGTTACTTACTTGCATCACGGCGGAATGAATAGTAGAGGCCGTCGGACCACTTGCTATTGGTTTTTGTGGTTGCCTGGCGTTTTTCCCTTTCAAAGTTTTCCCCAATGAGTTCCTCCGCCTGCTCTCTGTAGTAATCGGGCTACGCCTATGACATGCTTTTCAAAAAATCAAAATTTACTCTGTTAACACTATGTCTCCCTGGTACAACACATCCGACATTCCTGCTCTCTCATTTACCTCTTCGATTGTATCATCTGGTGCATTAATGGTGATATTGAGTCGTCTCAACTTCTAAACAACTCAAAGTTATGATTATCGCCTGTAGGAGGTCATGCTTGCACTAACCTTCAATCTCTGCGTTAGGAAGGCTTCCTGCTGCGCGTTCAGCCTTGGTTCCTTCATATACTTAGCCAGTCTCTCGCGTATTTGCAGGAGACGATCAAAGTTCAGATTCTTAATGACAACATTCACCACATACAACAGATTTTGTATTTCACGATCTTACCGATTTCAACTTGGCTAGCTTTTCCTTCAGCTCAATTTTCGATCTCCAGTCGAGCAAGCCGGTGCTGACGCCAGCGAACAAAAGAAGGAGGAGGAAAGATTTCATCCTAAAGGACAGTTCATAAATTAATGCGGCAGTGTGGAAAGAAATTGCATGCTATAGAAGTTTTGCAGCCTCTTTTATATCGGTATTCGATCCCATGTCGATAACATCACGAAGCAAAAAATTCTTTATCTAAGATGATGGCAGCTACAATTACATCCAGAACTGTTCTTTTTCATGATTTGGGTATTTGCATAGAGTAAAAAACAGCCAGCAGAGAACATCCACAAGCAGTCAATGAAAGCTTTCCATGTAAAGCAGCAGCTATGTAAAATCAGAGACGCTCGTTGTGCGTGGTATCTTTGTTTCAAGAATGGTGTTCGAATCAAATTCAACGAACAGTTTTTATGTGGATGGTGTTTATGGAGTTACTCAGCGGAACCTTTGAGTCCTATAAGCATTTACCTACATGATAACGACCAATCTGGATGTTTTCATAACTACAATTGAACACTGAACAGCTTTGGATGTAACCATAGCTGCGTCGTTTCAAATGGAAAACTTTTTTAGGTAGAGAACACTGCTATGGTGTCGATGTTTGTATGGGACAAAGACCTCAACTGGAGTCTTCTCTGAGCAGATGATTACAAAAAAGCTTTGCATGCGGAACTGTAGGTATGAAACATCCAGATTGGTCGTTATCATGTAGGTAAATGCTTATAGGACTCAAAGGTTCCGCTGAGTAACTCCATAAACACCATCCACATAAAAACTGTTCGTTGAATTTGATTCGAACACCATTCTTGAAACAAAGATACCACGCACAACGAGCGTCTCTGATTTTACATAGCTGCTGCTTTACATGGAAAGCTTTCATTGACTGCTTGTGGATGTTCTCTGCTGGCTGTTTTTTACTCTATGCAAATACCCAAATCATGGAAAAAGAACAGTTCTGGATGTAATTGTAGCTGCCATCATCTTAGATAACGAATTTTTTGCTTCGTGATAGTACTCTGCGTTGATACCACTGCTTT